TTGTTCCCACTCCCTGACTTGCTGCTTTGGATGATCCAAAATTGTTTTTCCATCTTAAGCATCATCTTCCACTACAAATCTTCCTAGATGTGCAGTATGACCTGCTGTCATCAGCCATCTCACTTCTCCCACAGGCTGACTCTAAGCAGATGAGTAGTCAGCACGTTTGTGTCGCTGTTGAAAGAAAACACTTCCAGCGAGGCATCCCATCGTACCCACCCCACCTGCAGTCTTGCTTGCTCTCTGTTGATAGGTGTGGGCAGAGCACACGAGGGGCAGAAAAAAGCACTTCCAGTTTATAGTTTTCAGACAGCTGCATTGGTGCTGGAGGGACTGACCCATCTGGCCAGACCCAGATGTGGTGTTAGCACTTACAATGCTGCCTTTATTGGATGTGGTCTGTAGGCACCAGGAATGATTTTTCCCAAGAAGCTCCAGCCGTCACTGCAGGCAGCCCCTGGCAGAGTCAGGACGGGGCTGGGCTCAGCTCCCATCAATGTTTTCACTGGCCAGCTGCCAAGGAGGTGCTGGTGGGTATCATCTAACGTGAAGCAGATGAGAGTACCTTCAAAGCCAAAGTGATGATATCTCTATCCACATCACCCGGGCAGTTACATAAACGTATGACTGGTCAAAGTCAGTCCCTTGCCCTGCTGCCAACGCCACCTGAAACTGGAGATGAAGCTGGAGGATGCGACTAAGGAACAGTGGTGCAGAACTACAGAGTCACTTTCTTTTAGACCTACCAAAGCAAGAAGACCAGCTGTAGTGTTTAAGCTGTGCAGTTTATTCTCTTTCCATTACTGTAGACCTTTGCTACAGATTTCCAGGTCCCTCCTGCCCAGTTTCCAGCTATGGCTTTCAAGACACAATTCACTTTCTGGATGTCGGGGCAGGCAACGTGCTGTACCGATAGCAGTGCACATTGCTAAGGAATGAAGCATACAAGGGCACAGAGCAGAGACACTCAAGGTAAACCACATTACAAATGCTCTAAGTCTGCTAAGGACCTTGGAAGGAGATGTTCTTCTGGTTAGGGAAACAACGGGAGGGACATTAGACCTGCATTCAGCTGGGGCTCTATCATTCCAAGGCAGTGATTTAAGGCTGTCTTAGCTTTCTTATCGTCTGAGAGGTACAGCCTTTTATTTCAGTTAGCTCTTCAGATAGCTTAATTTCTGAATGTTTGAAAAGGATGATGTGATATATAAATGGAAGGTGATAGGAAAGGACAAAGTGACATCCTAAAATGTATAGGCCATGAGCTTTTGCGCTACTTGAAAATATCACACCTCCTGGAACATACCTTAATAACTCCCAGGTGGAGGTCGTGCATTTGGCTGGCTTGAATCCAAACATTCAGAGTCAATTACAAAATGTAACCAGCATGAATTACCACTGATTTTGTCAAACAGGTTCAGTTCCTCCCATGTGAAAGTGAAAAAGAATCTCTCCCTTAGGTGGAAAATGGGATGGGAGATTCCCAACATAATGGGGCTTTTCTAGCAAACTTGAGGAGGAAGCTTATATTGGGAACGTAACTATCACGAACTCTGATTGTGGCTGCACTGTAAAAGTTGCTTTTCCAAGTCGAAAATAAAAGATGCAGCCACAAGAGGGAGGCAGAACTCCTGTGCTGGTATAGTAACCCAGCAGAAAACATAATAAATCAAAGCGATATGTTTTCAAAATTTCCCTCTTTGGACTAAAATTATCCAGCAGCACTCTCATTGAGAGCACCAACTGTTGGACGCAACTTCTATAAAAGTAGGTTCATAATGCATAGTAAATGTTAAATGATTTACGGAAGCTGAAAATTAGTAAGTAGTACATCTTTCTTTTAAATGTAAAGATTAGGTAAGAAATCACTTCAGGACAGATTGAAACTGATGTTCATGGGCTTTTTGTGGATGCTGGGGAAGAGAACTGTCCCCATGCTGTAAGGGATTTATTTCAAAGGTATATAGTTGTATTCATGCCAGGCTGTAATAGGGAAGGATCATTTTGTTTCAGGAAGGAGACTTTTTATAACAAATTACTTTTTAGAAAATACAGCACAAGTATGCATTGAAATACTTCTATTTCCATAGCACCTCAGCAAACAGAAAAGGCAATATCCTCAAATGGTGCTATTACTTATCCTGTAAAGCACTTTCACTGGACAGCAGGCTGCTGGCTGAGCTCAGCAGAGAAAGAAATTTGTCTGGAAGGAGAGGGCAGGTCTGGTGTCCAGTTCCTGCTCCAGGGTCTATCTCCATAATTTACTCAACATCATTCCAGAAACTGCAGTGAAGGGCTGGCAAACCTGGTCAGTACTGTAAACCCTCGAAGTCTCCAGTCCCGTTTTTTAGTCTTAAACTGTCTCTGCCTCTGTCCCAACCCTCAGACAAGGAGGAGAGAGGAAGCCAAACCCCCTTGGCTTACCTGCAGTGCAGTGCTCTGACCGCTGAGCAGGTTCACAGCACACAATGCTCATTCTGAGCCCGGCAGCAGGTTAGAATCCTCAGGAGATGGAAGGGCAGGAGGGTTCTTGGCTTGAAAACCCAAGCTGGACTTGGCTATGTAACCCTCTAGGACTCTGCGGTAGTCTGAGGCACACACAGGAGCCGTTGGCGTGTGGACATCTTTCCTGCAAATTTATGAGAGCTCCTGGGAATTTTGGTACTTCCAGAATGAGGTATGGGGGGTTTCCTGGATGGGAGGAGTGGGCTTGGCTGCCCAGACTCGGATTTAGCCCCACTGGTGTACCTTGGGGAGGTGCGGGTGTTGTCATTTAAAAGAGCGGCCAGAAAATAAAAAGGTCAAGCTACTGTTCTTTCCATCATACAATGCGCAATTGTACAGGCCTATGCATGTCTATACGACCCACACGTACGCTCTTGTCTTTTAACAGACAGTGGTTAAAATTTATCCTTTTACAGCATTTTCTGGTGGAGGTATTAAAAGTGCTTTATGGACATAAATTTAAACTGATTCCGTGCAGGACTGTGCAGACAGGGAATGACTGGTTGGGTGAAAAGAGCAGAAAACACCACTAAAAAATTAATTTGTCTGTTGGCCTTTTCTCAGCTGAACACAGAGTCAGGTGAGGGGGTCAGCTCTTACACCCAGTTCTGAGACCCAACCAGTTTCCAGTATGTCAACAAGGGGCCAAATTCTGCGTGGGGTTCCCACTCCTGAAAACCAGTCAGACTTGTGCTCGATTGCTGGTGCCAGCGGGTCACTGGTCCAGGCAAAAACCTGGCAGCTTCCAGCGGCCACTAGAGAGCAACAGTCCCTTAGCTCTGGAGAACCTGGGGAGCCTGAAGAGGCAGGAAACCCCCTGTCTTCCCGCTCCGCAGTTCACTCTTCTAGGTAGGGCCCACGCCACGAACCACAACTCACCACGCCAAAACGTCACCCTCAACTCACACGTTCATCATCCCCGGTCTTTTAGGTCCTCTGGCCCTGTACAATTTGAAACCCGATTTTGACAACGGTTCAGTTCCAAATCCAATTCTGTTTGTTCACATAATATTCATAATAAATTTTTCACTGACTGGTTTTTTTCCTTTGCTCCCCGGGTCAGTGTTTGACTGGGATCAGACTGGGATTCCCCAAGCCACATTTTTTGCATAGTTCCTGCCTTGTCACGGGACTTCATGAGGCTTTAGCACACATTTTTCTCCGCAGAGACTGTAACTTCAGCGTATCCTGTTCTGCCACCCTCGCCCCCCAAGTTGTTCCTCTTGCACCAACTGTCACTTCCCAGTGCCAGGGACATTTCTTCCTCCTGGGTAAAGGGTACCTGCAACAACTCAGGGGAAAAAAGCCCACCCAACCAATTGCTGACGGATGCAGTGCAATTTAGACAAGATTTTGATCAGCGGGAGGTGGGGATGGAGGATGCTGTAGTGACTGAGCTCTGTTCATCTCTTAGTTGAAAACCATCTGCAATTTTGCTTTTGTTTTTCCTGACCAGAAGCCTCTGCTACAGTCCTGCCTGCATCTGTGTGCTTACATGAGGTTTTTCCGTTTCATTCCTTTTTCATCCGAGTACTCTCTGTATGAATACAATTGCTGAACTGACCATGCCCCAAATTCCTCTGCATCCACACAGCGGAGCAGAGCTCTCCTTTTCTGTTCCGTGTAAGGGAAACCAGCTCTTCAGCCTGAATCCAGGGAGTGCTTTTGAAAAAAAGAGCAGTGACAAGTCTCAGTGACTGTAACAGAAGTGGAAAGATGACTGAAATGATACATGGCTTACTGGAGTTTGAAAGAACACAGAGAATCACAGCAGAGGACTCTGTAAATAGTTTAGACCTTATCACTGCACTTCCTTTGCGAGCAGATGTTCTGATTACAGGAGACACTGCCCTTGTGCATACTCCTGGCTTGAGCGGTCAGACAACAGGAGCAGAAAAGACCCACTGAGCTGAAACTTCAATTCTCAACTACTTTGTTTCAGGAAAGCTTCATTCAAATGTTGGGTTCTCCTCTACATTATGTCGGCACCGCTCCACACGTCTGTTAGGTGGCTCATGCTCTAGGCCTGCTCCATTTCATAGAATCATAGAATGGTTCGGGTTGGAAGGGACCTTAAAGATCATCAAGTTCCAACCCCCTGCCCTGGGCAGGGACACCTCCCACTAGAGCAGCTTGCTCAAAGCCCCATCCAGCCTGGCCTTGAACCCCTCCAGGGATGGGGCAGCCACAGCTTCTCTGGGCAACCTGTTCCAGTGCCTCACCACCCTCACTGTAAAGAATTTCTTTCTAGTATCTAATCTAAATCTCCCCTCTTCCAATTTAAAACCATTACCCCTTGTCCTGTCACTACACTATTTCCTTTGCAGTCTATCGTTTAGGCTGGACAATCAACTGAAATAGTCTCTTTTCTGTATATAACCCCATTACTTGTCCTTCTTTGTGCCATTCAAAACATCCCCTTTTCCTCTTCTGAAGTCAAGACTTCGGACTCATCAGAATATACAGCACATATCACTTCAATCTCACAGTGAAAATGTGGATATACCGTTTTATCTTAACATTTATTAAGTTTTCCCACAGTTCAAACAAAACATGACATCCCATTTCAACTGATAAAAGAAAAAAACATAAACCACTTCTACAAAGTGAGCCAGTGTATAGACTTTCTTATTTTACAAAACGAAAAGGTAGGAACATGTTACAAAATAATCATCAAATCAACCGATGTCAATAGTGCAAAGAATGAATCGCAAGTACAGGAAAGAGAGAGGGAGGGAGGGGAGGACGGATGGATGGATGGATGGATGGAAGGATAGATGGGTGGGTGGCTGAACAAAACAGGGAGGCTAGGAACAGCTATGCCTGTTATCGTACAAAATTTCTTATCTCAACAAACTCATGATGTAGATTTAACTTCAGTGGCAGCAGAGGGGAGGTACTTCTCCCGTAAGTGATCTCCGTGTGCTGCAGATTCCTGCACTGGACAGTTCTGGAGATGAGTACAGCTGTAAACATGAGCTGCTAAGAGCCACTAAAAGGAATTTTTCAGCCTCTGGAACAGAGGTGACCTATCAAGGGCTTGATTAGTTTGTGTGTGCTCAAGGGCCACGGAAATTACTGAGAGTTTCATGCAAGCAGCAGAGTTCAGTACCTCCAGGCTGAACTTTGTATACCTTCTCCTCCTGCTTTCATGCTCTTTTGCATGCAATTGCTCTCTGTCCTGCGGGGTGACTGATCAAAAGGGAGTTTTAGCAGCTACTAAGTCATGTGGACAGATAGACCAACAGGTCTTGCATGTCCTGTCAAGGAAATATGTCAGCCAGCAACCCACCAGAAAAGGTAAGTTATTTCTGCAATGTTTCTTACGATACTGCTAAAATGGAGAACCTAAAATCTGTCTCCTTCATAGGATGACTAAATTTGAGTCTAAATAAAATAAAGGATAAAAATCACATCAGTCAGTCAGAGCAATTCTCAGCTGAATTTGCCCATTTGCCTTTGCTAGCAGAGTGTCCACAGGCAATAAATGTCAGAGGCACTCACTAGAATAAGCTCAGCTGCACGGAGATGTTTTTCATCTTTACCCTTGTGATCAAAGACTGTTTATTTTTCTAGGCAAAATTCCCTGCAATACCTCAAGTCTTACCACAGTACAAAAATGAAACAAAACCATAATGAGAAATGGAAAGAAGGCTGAAAGTGGGAATAGCTTCAGGGAGTAAATGTATGCTTACCTTGAAGGCACGTTTCCTGCACGGAGTGTTTGGGTACTACAAAGCTTTCCAGTAAAACGAAGGACTGTGATTCTGTTTCTCAAAACGAGCACTAAACTGAAACTATCAAAAGAGATTTTTTTTTCTCCAAGATAAAAAAAAAAACAAACAATTAAAAAATCATCCCCACTCCAGGCATAGCTTGTATCTAAATCACTTCTGCTACTCTAAAACTGACAGAACTCTCAGCTCTTTTCCCCTCAGCCCCATCAACAGTCTGTCCAAATTACTGCTGTACCGCTAGGGAGGAAGAGTATACGATTCGTGGAGATAAAGTTCACACAGTGACAGTATCTAACACTGAAAAATTGTCACTGTTTAATCCAACAAGAAGAGCATCATCTCAAAAAGAGCGCTTAGGATCCCGGTGTTCAAATGCTCAGTGCTCCTAATGGTGCTGGGCTGAAAAAAAAATTCAGTGGTGACACTTGGTGATACCAACACTGGATTATCTAAAGATTTTGGCTGTTAGTGCTCTTTTGAAAAATCAAACTGCTTACTCTAGTGCTTCAGTAGGAAATGAGTTCTTTTGAAACTCTGGCCAAGGTATTAATCCTAAACTCTTGAAAATTCAGTGGGAAGTACATCAGAAAGATATTCTCCAGAGATCAGAATGGATTAAAATAGCTTTTTTATAACCCAGAACACTTTTCCAGTTTTGCCTGCATAACTCCATGAGGACTGGAAGACACACTTCTGTCGTTTAACTAGCTACATGAGAGAGATCGGAGTCAGGCCCATGCTCGCTCTGTCATTCATTAACTTTGAATAAAAAAAAAAAGTATCAGTGATGAAAGTGATGGAGAGGTAGAAAAATTAAGTAAATCCAGAAACCTCCAATATATTAATCTTTCAATTTTTGGGGCATGAAATATTCTGTGGATGGAGTATGATAGAAACTGAACAGTTTAAGAAATTAAGAGAGATGGAAAATGATATGCCTTTGATTTTCTCCCCTCTTTAAGGAGGTCAACACAATTTTGCTTATTTGTTATTACATACTTGTGTTTTCAAGGGCTGGGGAGCAACAGGCAAAACTTCAGACACCGCGGGTGAGAGCAGGGACTCTCCCACCTGTTGCTTTCACACAACATTCTCACACTTGCTCAGCAACATCTCAGCGCTCCTTCTGCTTGGTTTTGCTGGATTTCTTGCTGGTCCTTTTCAGAAACTGTACAGTTTCAGGAGCTGCAGTGAAAAACAGGGGAAACACCCAGGAGTCCTTTGAATGCCTTTGAAAAGCAGAGGGAATTTTGTAGACAGGAGCTGCCACGCAACTCATCACAGCCAGCCTGTCACGGAGCTGAGAATCAGCCATGAATTCAGCCCCTGCTCTCAGAGATTTCCCAACCTACACCAGTTATTCCTTCATAAATAATGATTCTTTGTGCTTGATCAGTCATTTTAATCCACTGATCTCAGAATGCTTTGTAAAAGTTAACAGCATTCTTCCATGCACCGAGAGCTGCTGCAAATGCTTAGGACTAACCTGTGTGTTCTGAGCGAGGGGCGCCTGGTGGGACCACCTCCAGTACAGGATTATTTGTGTGCTAAGAACTCCTCCAAGGACTGAGACTTTACATATTTACAGTTGTGTACTGTGTAAATATAAACCACTAGGTTGATCTAGGCCTGGAATTTAGATGCGTATAAAAAGGCAGAAGGTCAGAAGTTCAACAAATTATAATTTGTTTTAAATTCTACCGCTATAATTAATCTCATGTTTTATTTGGGATCTTAACACTGTAGTGATTTTTACAGGAGTCACAGTGAAAGTAGGAATTTTCTGTTATATGAAATGCAAACTAAAATAAATCTATAAATTTATAAGAAATCTTTCATTTTAATTCATTATGATTTTAAATTACATTGCTAAGGCTTTCCAAACGTGATTTTAAAGTCAGCAGTAACCTTTCAAAAGAGAAATGATTTAATAAATTACTTTTCTGACATTTAAAATTACATTGAGAAAAAATATTATGCAAGCCATGGAAACAACTACAAAAAAATGTATTTTGAACACTGTTTTATCTGAACATATATATGAAGGAGTGATTTTTGCCTTCTGCATTTTTATTTAGAAATAAGAATTAAGACTTGCTGTTACTTACAGCTAAATAGAGATTGAAAAATATCCATGATGGGAAGCTTGTTTTTAATTTTCAAAAAAAGATTTTGGGTCCCAGTTAGTGGGGGTTTTGTAAAGATACAACTGACGTGTTGTATGTTCAAGATAGAACATGAAAGTAATATTGCACTGCAAGCAAGGACACTCCAAGGAGTTTCAGGAAGGCAAACGACAGTGTCTGTTAAAGTAATCATGTTCTGGCATTTTCAATAACCATCCACCTTACCCATCCAAGAAAACACAAAAAAACCCCCCAAACCACCCAGATCCAAACCCCAATGTTTTTCCCTTAAATATCTTTCTAGGCAGGAATGATCTAATCTTAGCAAAGTCCCTCCTGGATCGGCTCTATTGTAAGACACATTCCCTGTTACTAGCAGCTATAACCATGTTCAGTCAAGATAACAGAACAGCCCAGACTAACAAATACAAATTTTAAGAAACTGCAGAGGCTTTCATGTAACTTGTGCAGACGCCATGAAAATGTGCACAGTGACATGTTGTCGTTCAGAGGATGAGACAGAAGAGGGTGATTAGAAGAACAGCTACATAATTAGCTGTCCTGTCTGTAGTTCATCTGCTTGCCCATCTACTATGCTGAAGATGCAGAGTCTGTTGATTCTCCAGATTGAGGCTCAGGGGTTTCACTCCGTGGACCACTTCAGAAAAGAGATTTTGTATCATTTTTCACTTACCACTCCCTGAGTTTCATTTGGCAGCTCAGCGGATCTGCCGATGACCAAATCAACAGGAATACAAAAAAAAAATGCTTAACATAGGAGGGCAAGATTGTCAGTGAGATAAAGGCTGCTTTCTGGTCTGGCTGTGATGGTGCCAGACCGTACTTCAGTGCAGAACCTGGACAGTGAAGAGGCAGAAAAGGCAGGCTTGACTGTGATACCAGTCATTCTGTCTATACTAACTGTACTTAAATCATTCCAGCAAAAGCCCATGGGTCCGCTCCAAACAAATCACTGGCGAGCTTCTTCTCAAAGTATGGATCATCACAAGGAAAAATAACACCCTTCAGAGCATTATTTTAAGAGTAGTACTCCATACTTCTTAAAGAAAAATAACCAAAACCCTGCAAGTCCTTTCTTCCAGGTTGTTAATTTGACAACCCCTCTTGTGACCTGCAGACTGAGCTTCCTTCACTGCGTAGCACATTCATTGACATTTGCAGCATCTTCTCCCTTCAGATCCTCATTCAAGCTTTTCTTCTGCTCTATTTCGACCTGGCAGAGGAAAAAGAGGAGAACATTTCTAATGAGAATGGAAAGAAAAAGACTCAAAAGTCTTCCTTAGTGGTGATTCATGTCCTGCTCAGTGAAGAAACTCTTGGTAAACTGAGAGGGTTGTGAAGAGAAATAGACTGAGGAGGGAAAGCTGGATTTGATTTATTCTAAGTGTTTTCAGTCTAATCCAAACAGTTTTATGATCCAACAGTGTAATGACATCATTTCCAGAAGAGGCAATGTCATGCAGAGAACCGGTCTCACGATTTTCTATTTGTTACCATCCCCAGCTGTACTCTGAATCCAAACCCAGAACCAAACCTGCAGAGGATAGGTGGCTTCCTGAGAGACAGCAGATGACCAGCCTCAATTTTAAACTCTGCAAAGACTCATATATAAAGCAAAGAGATTCATTTACAAGATGCACATCTACATTTGCTTTCTAAATTTCAACACCTCTGAAAACTCAGGGATAATCCAATGTTTAATTCTGAACAGGGATACTTAGGAAGATCAAATACCATCTCCAGGGAATTTAAGAGACTACTAAAAATGCAATTACAATTACTGTTAAAAATATTTGCCATGAGAATCTTTCAGTATCCCTCAGCATTGCTCTGAAAGAAGGTGGGTAGGATGCCAATTTCTCTGCTGAGTGATCAGCTGACATGCAAATTTTGGCATCCTGAGATTCTTGGCAGGTATATACATACTGCATTTTCCCATCTGCTCCTCTCCTTAGGGCAGGCAGGAAGAAGAAATATTTAAGCACAAAAATAATGTGATCTTTTTGTCTGTTGTAGCACTCCTACTGTAGCTGCTACGAAGAGCAGCGAAACTCCCAGTTCACACTTCTGCCATTATCAGCTAAGGCCCAGAGCCTGGCTGTGTGCATGTGTGTGCTCTTTGTCATGGTTTGGGCTGGCCTGGCCACTAAACGAATGACAGATGCTCCCTCTACTTCTCTCTCTCCCTTCCCAGAGAAGAAGGGAGAGGGAGAGAAAATACAGGAGAGACTTATGTGACCCAGCCTGATGCAGGTGGGACGGAATATCCCGCTGTCAGTTTCAGGTCACCTGTCCTGTCTGCTTCTCCCCCCAGCTGGGACCCCTCTATGCTTTTCCACTTTCAACCCTCCAACAGGGCAAATACCAAAGTGAGCTGACCTTGGTTGTTACAGCAATAAGTATAAGAAAGAGCCTCTCTACATACTATTCCTTGGTATTAACTTTGAGCATCAGACCTTACCACTCTGGAAGCAGACACTGTTTGAAGACTTAACTGAAAAGTAAAATTACTGAACAGAAAATCGGTTCTGTAGTACTTCAAACCAGGACACTCTTCCATAAAGCACTGCAAGCGAGGTTATTCCATCTTTGCTGAGGGATAATCCACCACTTGTTTGTGAATCAAGAGGCTGCACATGGGCAGCTACTGCACAGAGCCCGGCACGTGCCAAACTCCCACCGCATCTGCCCATGGCATTTATTTGTCTGCCCACACTTCTCAAGTCAATGTAGTGTGCAAAGTAACCACGGCGACTGCCACGTGCTCCGTTTTACCTTGTAACTGTAGTGTGCTGAATAGTTGACCCACTTCCTCACGTCGGTCTTGTCCTCAACAGAGATGGACCGAACGGTGGCTTTGGAGGCAGAAGTGGTGGGCATGTCAAATTCCACATCTACGTAGCGGACAAAACTGGAAGGCACTTCCCGGTCAGAGCCAAGCTCTAGGTGACAGAAGAAGCAGTGAGGATGGCCAGAAGCTGGAAAAAGAGAGCAAACAGACATGAAAGTTGTGTTGGATGGATCAAAAAAGACAACATCTAGGAGGAAGCGACATCACAAAACTGCAAGAAACCCAGAATCTGCCTAAGTGAACTGCTTTGTAGCAAGTGACAGTATCTTACCTGCTTCAGTAACGTTGGGACTTTCCAGAGGCATTAAACAAAATAAACTGCAAAAAGGACTGATGATCCCTTTAGTTTGCCTTTAGCAGGTGAAAATATGAGATGTAAATCAAGCACCATGGGGTAAAGGTATTTCCCCTCCTCTGATTCCCCCAGTGTATGTAACACACTAAGTACATTGTGGCACATCCTTCTGAAATGTCATGGATTGACAGTAAGTAAAGGTGGGATTTCACATTTATTTGAAATCAATATTTATTCACATTAATATGGCAGATACATATATAGGGATATATATGGCATATATATATGGGGATAGATATATATATATAGGAATTGTTATCCACATTTTTAGCAAAAAAAATAAATATACTGAATAAGCTTAAATAACTTTTCTGGTTTCAAAAAGCAAATCTGTGCAGGGCTTGGAAATAACTATTGATTCCTTACTCTAACCCTCAACAAGGTGGCTGGTCATTAAAGATTGCAAGGTGAGGAAATAATCACATTTAGCTTTGTCATCTGTAAATGATAACTTTTGTCATTATTTTTTCCCCTTTGTTTTGCTGGAAAGCAGTGATGTTTAAAAATCAAAGTAGGGGCTGCGAGCCAAGCTAGGTTGGTTTTATTTCTGACTGCTGCCAACTCCCTGAGCCCTTCAGCAAGTCATTTAATGTCTGTGCCTCAGTTTCTCTGTTGGCAAAATGAGGATGAGAGTCTTCAAAACCACCTTGGGCTTTCTGATAGACAGGATCCTATTATCTAAATATGTGTAAGTGAAAATAGTGTATAAATAAATGAATGGGATCCTTGTCTGCCACTGCTACAGGCTTTAGGATTTCTGACTATTTGTTCCTTGGGAAAGACCTTCTCCATACAGCTCAGCGAGGTGTATAGGACAAAAGGGAGGAGAAAGGCAGGCAGAGTAAAAATAACTGGGTGGGGAAAAGCCCAGAAGCTCCCCCTGGGAAGAGGAGGAAAACACCACCTCTGAAGGTGAAGGACTTGCAAGCCTGGGCCTTGACAAGGAAATCAGCACCTCATCCAGAGCTCAGCCCAAAAGTCAGCCTTGTCGAGCTTGAAAAGCAAGAAGTGGGTTTTTGAGATATTACTTGTGCCAACAGGATGCAACTGAGCAGCCTTTAGAGGACTTAGGCATTGCAACATCCCACTTAACCTCTGAAATAGAGTTGGGAAAAAATTTCACCCGGGTGTAAGTCTGGGTAAAAATTCCATCTAGAGTCAGCCTCATGGTTCCGAACAGTGTAGCCCGAGCTTCCTCACAACGGGAAGGTTTATACACTTAGTTCTGTGCAGCACATCCAGTGGGAGGCTGTGCTGTTCAGCAGAGACCACGGAGATACGCAGCACCACAGCGGGAGCCAAGCTAGGGATGAGTGGGTGCTGTATTGAGCAGATATAAAAGCTCGAGCTCTGCATGCATTAAAATACATCACTGGCTTTTCATCAGGATTAATTATTCCAAGCACAGCTCCCTGGTTCTAAAGTGAGATGGGATCTCTCTCTGACAGTGCTTCCCACCATTCCACACCTGGAGCACGCTTTTTCTGGCTGAATAGCAGTGGTGCACAGAAGACCTTCAAGAGGAAGGTCTCATGGAAGACCTTCAAGAAGAAGGTCTCACCACAGGCTCGCAGCAGCCCCATGTGCTCTCACAGAGAACAAACACTCTGCTCTCCAGCACGGGAGGGCTTTTGCTTCTGCCCAGTTCTTGAGCTTGGCTGTGGTGGGCAGACCTGTGGTGGCTGTGCCCGTCAGCCCCTGCCATGGGACACCTGGGTGCTGCTGCACATTCCTGGCAATCACTGCTTCTGGCCCTGCGTTAGGAAGATGCCCAAAAATGAGTCACTCCTGGCTCAAAAATTCTGTGTTTGGCACTCGGTGCTGGCAACCAACTCCCGGTCTCAGGCTCCCCATCCCTTCCTATCTCTTTCCTCACCCTGTACCAGTCTCAGAAGACTCCTCATTGTAATCCTTCCATTGTAATCTGCTTCGCTATGCTTTCTTCTCCTCTGGTTTGCCATGGGTTGCTCCTTCAGACGGTCTGGGCTGCAGGGGTGGCCCACAGCAGCCCAGGAGAGGGGGCTCTGTGCCCCACAGCTACCAAATGTTCAGCCTGCACCGCTGCACTCCTGAGCTGGCACGTGCTCGGGTGCCTTTGGGATGGACCTGTACGAAGGTAACACGAAGGGAAGTCTTTAACTGGGCCTGAGCACGCTGTGTGGCAGGTGATTTGGAGATCTGAGCTATTAAACTCTTCATAATTTCAACTGGAACAACCACTCTTCTAACACACCTGAATGTTGATGGATATACACAGGCTCAGAAGAAAAAAAGGGGGGGAGGAATAAAGGGAAAAAAGAAAAAAAAAAAAAAATTAATGCAGTGCAATTAACACAGCAATTTTTCAGTAATCTAACTCTTTCTAGTAGGAGTACCTACTAACAGAAAAGACTATGCACAACACTAAAAAAAATATGGAAGTTATTAATTTAAACCAGCTCAGCACAGCAGGCAACCAGATGAACTGATTAGGAGAGCAACTCCTCCACCAAAACTACAGCAAAACCACCAACCACATCAGCGTTCACTAGTGTTCCGAGCGTGCGGCACACGAGGCACAACTTGTACAGACCTTCTGTTTGTTCAACAGGCTCATTCAGAGCTCCTCCTCTAATGGACAGGTATGATTTTCAGTAAAATCAGGAGGAAATCAATGGACTGCTTTTGTTTTGCATTTCTTGCCTCCTTGAGCTACTAATATTTCATTCTGACAATCAAGGATCTGATAAGATAATTCATATATATGCATGGGTTACTGTGATTGGAGGGAATCTGTTCCAAACTACTCTGATGGATTAAAGGATTTAATTTACTTCAAAAAGTATAGCAGGAGGCATGCCTGGGATCCACAGCCAAACTAGACCAAAGTTCAAATATCCAGATCCAAGGCTCTGCATAGAGGCTACAGCCCTGCTTCGCTGGAAGACCGTTTTCCCACGATTGAAGACCGGGTGGATGTTTTCCTAATATTCTGCTGGTGGATTATAAAAAAACCAAACATGTGGAGCCCAGCCAGCTGCAACTGAAGCTCTGCAGAGCCTGTGAATAGGCTTTCTTTATCAAGTGCTTTGATCATATTAATTGTGAATATGAGAAGGGCAATAAAGTTTAACAAGCTATTTTGGAAAGGATTTCAGCAATGTGCTCAGTAGAATCCAGTCCATATTTTTTTTTTTAGGTCAAATCATAGTCAGAGTACACACAGTCCTTCATTTGTCGTATGATTTTCAACACCCAGTCATAAGCAGAGGCTTTGGCTAGGGAACGCTACAGACGGTGCTGATAACGAGTTCCTCTGGTGAGATGCAAAGGGCCCCATCCCATTAGAAAGCATAGAGAGAAAACATTTGGATAAGACAGCGAAGCTGCTGAAATAATTCTTACCAATCTGGGTGGTAGGATAGCACAGCCTGAATGTGAGCGGTGAGTTTCGGGAGGGACCGGCTCTCCTGCCCTCTGGGGCTGGGGTATTGCCTGCCCATCACGGGCAGGGCTGATGGTGTCCCACACCTCACGTCCACACAAAGCCTGCACCATTGCAGGGAGCCATGCAATGCACATCCTCCAAGTCGCATGGACAGACTGTGTGTGGTCTCTGGAGGCAGGGTGGAGCTGAAGACTGTGGCTACCTGCAGCATTTCTCACCAGCTGCAGGGTGATGCCCCCACCTCTCTCCTGCTGGAGTCCCAGGCACCAGAACAGCTCATTAGCAAATCAGACATTTAGAGAGGACCCAGAGCGCTGTAAGGGGCGAGTTGCAGGTGCCGCAATAACAGAGCATGAAGTTGTGAGTCAGGGGAGTAGTTTTATACTTAATGCTTGAGAACTGTGCAATTATAGGGAATTCTGCAAATAGGTGGAGGTGAGTTACTATATGGCTTGTGGGCAGGGCTGGACACAGCCAAGCACGCACAAGGTTGGGAGTAGACCACGGATCAGTATCACATGGTCAGAACTGTATGTGGTCCATCAGGAAAATCTAAGAAGGAGTAGGAATCAATGCTTTTGAGCATTGATCAGTTCCAGTTTATATCCCTCTTGGTTTGCCATATAATTTGAGTAAGAAAAAACATGGGACAAGTACTGTCAAGTAATGTAAATGGTCCTTGAGAGGCAAGGTCAGATTTAAAACTAGGCTTGGCCTGCCCTGTCACCACTTTGGGATTCCCTCTCACATACCTCATATGTCCTGGCCAAAATAGTGCTTGCAAGGCCCTTCCTTTCCCTGAAATTACATCTGACCTGACCAGAGGGGTGAGGACACTCTCTTCCTCTCAGGATGTAAACAGATACCAGCTGCCCTGCGTTCTGCACGGTGACACTGATGGATGGATGCTCTGTGGCTGGGCTCCAGCAGCAGCGCCAAATCCCTGATGCATTTCCCCCTGACACAGGGTATATATAATAAAGCCTCACACTGGAGAGACAAGATCAAGGAAATAGGAGATGTAGGTCAACATCTCCCTCAAAGTTGCCATGGGTAGGGGGGCATCATCTCGTAGGAGGCAGCAGAGCCAGGAGTTCTGCCTCTTCTCCTGGTTTGCTACCAGCAGGTTCTGTGACTGTGTTAAAGATTGATGGCTTTTGTTTCCCCAGCTGCAACGTCTATATGGTATGTGGAGATCTTTGGAGAGAAGATGCTACAGAAGGCCCAATTTCACAGCATCTCGTTCCCAGAGAGCACGCAGATGGCACAGTGAGATTTTCCTCACGAGCATGTTATTGCTCATAAACAGCCTGAGGTTAAGTTTTCATTGCAATATTTCTCTCGAGTTCCCCAGCTCTCTCATGTCCCGCACTACAGAGAACGTGGAGCCTTCACTTTTGTCAATGACATCCCTCCAAATTTGTGACCGATGGTGTAAGCTGGGATCCTCGGGTAGAAACGTGATCCAAAAGTTTCTAAGACTTGGATCACTGTTTTGCTGACACTGTAGCTCAAACTCAGGAAAAACATACGTCCTTAGAAAGTGTCAAATCTGGTACAACAATGAACTTCCAGGGAACTCTGAATATGGAAACCCAGCCAGTCACCTGGCTGCGTTACTACAGCATTAATACTAAAAAGTGCATCTCAGTTGTGAAAAGCTGGTCTAGATCAGAGAAATAAGAAGACTACGAATTCACTACGTATAAGAATAAACCCGAGTTGTCCAGCTTTATTGCACACCGTGCATGAAAGGCAGGAAGTGGAATGACTGGCCGGGAACCAGTAATTTGCTCGTAGTATTTGAATATTTAATTATGATCATGTTGCTAGAAATACAAAGACTTGTGGGTTTTATGTTGGCATTCTCTCTTCAGGTTTGAGCTACATTTACGTGCCTGCACTGATTATGGAAACATAGCCACAAACTGGCTTTCGGAATTTTGTTTTTTCTTTGTTTTTGTTTTTTAAATGATTGCACAATGCCTTCTGTACTTTTACAATCCTCATTCCAGACACTTTGTAGGCATTAGTTGTGGCATAGACATTGCAATATATAGCACTGGCCCAGTATGCTTGGCAATACATGGAAAAGAAACCACATGTGCTGGAACTGCAGCAATTTATCTGCTCCTGTCCTTCAGCCCCAGAGCGTCGTATCTTGCCCTGCTTCCAGGAACAGCGCTAAGCACACAGAGGTGTTTGATGCCCATAGACTCGTAAATGTACTCATAAAATGAGTACTCATAAATGTACATATGAGTATATTTGTACATACATGTATATTTGTGCATACATGTACTCATAAAATGCAATGTATGTGTACTCATAAAAAGTACTCATAATGTACTCATAAAAGCAGAGACAGAAGGTGTATTTTTGCATCAGGAAAACCTAAGCCTGTTTTTCTCATTAGCAATGTTTGTAGGATACGTAAAACTACTGCAGTGAAGGTTCAGATAAATGCTTCATGCAACTACCTGCTGTCCTTTGGTATGCTACAGAGGATGATTTATCTCCCTCTGTGTAAACACAGTATTCCCTACCTTCCAAAATACATCACTCCTTTTAGTTTACTCCTGCAGAGATGGTATGTATGCGCCACTCACCTGAGTTTTTGTCAGGCAGTCGGTTTATTCTCCATACGATGGAATTAAAGGCATGCTCGTATTTGGCAGTTCCCAAAGTCACTCTCATTACTGGCTCAGAACCAGACAGACTGGTTGATCCAAAAGCAGCCCCCTTGTTCACCTTGGCTTTCAAAGATTTCTCCCCCAGGACGCTCTCCCTGCGGAAGTTCTTCACCCACTCCTTTGGCACTGGGTAACGGATCATCACATTTTCACAAGGGACCTGAGTTAAAGGGTCACGGTTGGAAGAGAAGCCAGTGGACATCATCAGCCAGCTCTGCACCTCCACCTCAGCACCGTTGATGCTGGCAGCCGTCCTCAGAGTAAAAGGCAAAGTTTTCTCGGCAAAGACAGTTCTGAATCGCATCAGCTCAAAGCGGCAGGCATCCAGGGGGTTGAAGAGGATAACACGGGAGTTATTAAACACATCCTCATCCACACACGAGTGGAACCGACAGCTGTATAATTTAATCCACTTAGTGGTAGTAGTGGGCATAATATCCTGCCTTGCAACGATTTCGTTCCCTTTGATCAGGATATCATTAAGGCCCAGCCTGCATTCTGCCAGGCCAGAAAGGAAGCTGAGAACATAGATATGGGTCAGCACACTGTGCTGGAGAATCGCACTGTCTCCTTTGGCCAAGATACCATGAAACTCGTCCCTGACATCAACCGTGATTTCTTCTTCTTGATAGTTTAGTCCCACCGTGCTCAGATCTGTTGATGAGGCTGGCAAGTTCATCAGCGTGTCTTGCACAGCACTGATGAAGCTAAGGAAGTCTTCATAATCTGTAGTCCCAAGCTTGATAATTTGCTCTCTTTCTGCTGTGTGAGCAATGGCTGGCTTAGGCTGATACTTCTTCTTCTCCTTGTAGGTTGTGCGGTCCAACCGCACGCTGTGTATCCTCCCGTTCTCATCATAGTTCTGCAGTTTGCGCTCTGAAATCTCATGATTGATTTCAAGTTTGAATTCCCGGAAAGGCTTCTCCAGTCCTTTCTCATAAAAAAGCTGTATACATCCACTGTCCGTCAGCTTGACGTATATTGGTCCCCAGTGCCTGGATGACATAATATTCTTCTTCTCTGGGATCCTGAGCATCATTGGCCATCCATCCTTTGGCTGAGCTGGTGCCAGGTTAAATAAGGCTGCATCCAGATCACACGGCATCGTGGGGTCATCATCAGGCAAGGTAGGGCTGCTCACACGATCTGGGTCTCCAATCTGGAGCTGCTTGAGCTGTTCTACGGCATCTGTGTGGGTTACGCTTTTGTTTGCCTCATGGAAACTGATGGTGTCAGGCTCTTGATGGAGAATAATGAGAGAGTCTCTTTGGCTTTTGCCTGGAGCGCTGGAGACAGAAGAACTTTTGGAACGCCTGTCTCGCTCCTCGAAGAATGAACTGAATGGATTGATGGGTGAGGGTTGGACATCTCGCAGAGATTCATCCAGGAAGGGATTAGTAGCACTCCATGGTGGTGTTTCAACAGAAGGCAACTTGGTTAAGGACGAGAGATCTAGTTTTTTAATTTTGGAGAGGTCACCCAATGTGCTTTTAGGACGTTCTCTTTTCTTAAAGGATGTAGTGAGGTTAAAGTTAACATCTGGAGTCGGTGTTTCTGCAGGTGGGGTGTCTGTTTTCAAGGGAGACAGGTTCTGCGGTGAAAAACTGACTTCATTGTCATCAAAAGTCACCCAGCTGGGAAAGCGAACTGTGGTTGGGGTAGATGAATGCCCATTCATGGAAGTGTTGTTTGGCTGCCAGTTGACAGCCTCCATATCTACCTCTTCATCTTCCTGGAGAGATGATGAATTGTCTTTAAAAAAAGAGGGGAGGGGAGGAAATTTCAGCTAATTATTCTGAAGTTACCTAGAAAGAAAAATACAGTCTGCACAATAGTTTGCATGCTCAAGAAAGGCCTATTCATATGCTGGGCAAAGAAGATAATCAAAAGACTTGGCTAAAATGCTGAAAAGTCTGGCAAGAATAAAGAAATAGATTCAGCCAGTTTTAAATGGACAGTTTAACACAGAAAAGAAATGCAGGAAGAAAGACAAAAAAGAATGACCGCAATGATCGAATTGCTCTCATTCAAACATAATGACCTAAAAAAGAAACAGCCTACATCTTGTAGTTAAAAAAGCTTCCCTCTCTAAACTTTCAGGCTGCATTTCTTCTCTGCACTTATCTTCTGTCATTTGCTGGTTTTGTCCCCTCTCTCCCTTGTTCTAATTTTTTTCCTTTCTGTCCCCATACCCCTTCTCTACAGAAGAATCCAGTGGGGAGAAGAAATGAGCATTGAGGAAGAGCTCTTCTCCACTCTGTCCCCACATACTTGTGTGCACACTGGTTGTTATCACAAAAGCACACAGGGATATGGTGGAGGGACCATAAAAGATGCCTCAGTGGCATTTTTGACCAGGATGTGTTCAGCCAAGAGACTCCTTGGCTTAGTCAGTGGGAATGAGTCTGCCAGACCTTGGATGTCTCTGAGAAATCTCTTGGAGCAGCTGTGATCTAGGGCTCTAAGTTAGGATAAGGAAAAACATATTTTTGACTTGTATTGTGGGAGCTGTCGTCATCCTCTGTCAGGACATGGCACCTTTGACTGCTGCTTTCCTAGTCTCAGGCTTTGCCAAGACACTTCCCAGAAGACTGCATCATACTGTGCTATTTCAATCCCAACTCTATCCGGAGGAGATAGCAGCAGTGTCAATGAGGTGTTTTCCAAAATGAGCATAAATTCTCAGAGTTCAGAAATTAAAAGGTTTTCTTCTCATTTATTCCCACTGGGCTAAGGAATCAGAGCGCTCCTCAAAATAAGCAGCCAGCATGAAATTGTACTCTGCATCTGCTCCACGGGTTTGTTCTCTCTCTGATACAGCAGTGCTAGCATTTGTGCCTTTTGTCTCTGAGAAATCTATAGATCCCATGTTTTACACAAGTCACTGTTCTTCAGCACAAGGAGAAATGTGAGTGTAAACTGTAGCACTTTGGTATGGCTGTACACCTGTCATGTGAGCATATTTTACAATATTAACAACAACAAACTATTTAAGCCATTATTTAAATTGCTACCAGTTTGCAAAAAAGATGAACTTGATTTCCATTCTGCCTCAACCATAACAGACAATTTGAATTTTTATTACAGTTACCATTTAGAATATGAAAGAGGGGATACTCATCTAAGCCAAAGTCCTGCCATTAGCTTATTATGTCTTGAGTAACTTGATTTTCCAGACCCCTCAGCCCAGCTGTATGGAAGTGCACCCAACCTTTTGATCTAAGGACAAAACATATCATGCAAGTTCTAGAATTATATATGAAGCACAATGATACCAATTTGTTTTCCAGGCCACAATAATAACAAAGCTAAACTCAGAGCAGACACCTTTGACAGACCATCCATGCATTTTAAAGTGTATTTGAAAAGATGTGGCACTAGCTCAGTTTCTCGGATTTTCTTCTCTACCCTGCCCTTTCACTCCCAGCTTTGCACGATGCCTCTCTGTAGTCCCCGATACTGGTTGTGCCACTGGGTACAGTGGTGGGTTCTTAATCTGTTAAGTTTTGCCATATATATATATAAGACTATAAATAGATATGTGGGGGAAAAAAAAACAACAAACAAACTGATTATCATCTACAACCACACCCTAAGGAAGTAATAAAAAGCCCAACAAGAATAATCTCTGATGTTGTTCTGATCCTCAGGGCCACACCAATATCTTCTGTGTTGTCTCATGTCTTTCCAGGACTTTGGTTAGCAAGCATGTAATCCTCTGAAGCAAAGCAAAGGCAATGGAAAGATGTGATAAGAGTACCACCACTTTGCCATCTGCAATTTAACCTTCCCCTTTCTTCTCCATTAGCTTTTGAACTGCAGAAACCAAATCTGATTCCACAAATAAAAGTATTAACACTTCTGGTAAGTCTGAGAGAGGCAGATGAGAAGACCTCCTTGAAAGCCCATGTGAAAACCACACAAAAATCACCTGACAAAATTTCTTTCTGAACTGAACAAGTTTTATAAAATAAATTTGATCCAGATGCCCAGAAATTCAGAAGAAAAATTAAGAGAAGATGGCTTTATAAATGTAAGCATTTGTGTAATTTTATTTTCTAGAAAAATCAATAAACTGTTATTTCATGTGATATGTGGAAGTGTCAAATCTAGGAAGTGAAATTGTCTTTCTTTCCCAAACTATAATCAAAACTATATTCTACTGTTGCCAAGGAACCATATAGTTTAGTTTACAAATATTTGAAGAATACAGAGGTGGTTCTAGAAAAGACAGGTTTTTAGCTTTGTCTGTAAGAGAATGACTAATAACAGGGAGGCTAAAAATACTAATATGCTAATGCAGCTAAGCATCCAAAGAAAGTTCCTGAGAAGTAGATGAAATAGAGTGTATATTCCAAGAGAAATACTGGCACCTGTGCTGCAAAGGCAAATATGGCACGGTGAAAAATCTTGGCACTGCCAGAGGACAGCTCAGACAATGACTTGAGATTTTTCCTTTCTTAACTTTTGACGAGTTCCTGAACATGGATGATAATGTTTAAAATGCAAATGTCCTTCAGTTTGGCAGCACCCCAGTAGGTCTGGGAGAGGACACTTAGGAAAGCAATTCCCTAGAGGAATGTTGCGTTCATTATTGTACTTCTTGCTTTCGTAACTGCTTCCAAATTCCTTCCTACAAAATAAATCAAGACAATAGCGCAATCGCTAGTCTTCAACCCAGAGTGACTCCTGACTGAGAAAGCCTGACCAGACTGTAAAAAATGATCAGAGGGCTGGAGCACCTCTCCTGTGAGGACAGGCTGAGACAGGTGGGGTTGTTCAGCCTGGAGAAAGCTCTGGGGACACCTGATTGTGGCTTTTCAATACTTAGAAGTGGGCTCGTAATAAAGATGGGGACAAATTTTATAGCAGGGGTTGTTACAATAGGACAAGTGGCAATGGTTTTAAACTAAAAGAGGGTAGATTTAGACTAGATAGAAGGAAGAAATTTTTGACAATGAGGGTGGTGAAACATTGGAACAAGTTGCCCAGAGAGGTGGTAGATGCCCCATCCCTGGAAACATTCAAGGTCAGGTTGCCCAAGGCTCTGAGCAACCTGAGGTAGCTGAAGATGTCCCTGCTCATCGCTGAGGGATTGGACTAGGTGGCCTTTAAAGGTCCCTTCCAACCCAAACTATTCTATGATTCTATGAAAGACTAGATCTGCATTAAAAAAAGGAAGAAGCAATCAAAACAAAGCACTTGTTTTTTCCTTCTTGACCGACTGACTTTGCTTTCCTAAGCCATTGACTTTGATAGGTGTTTACTTTGCAAAATTAAAGTACCTGTCTGACCTTGCCAGATTCCAACCTGACAGGTTGCTTCAGCCAGCTACAAAACACAGGAGCAGGTTTACCAAGGAGGTGAAGGGGACAGTAGCTCCATCTCCTTTCCCAGTGACACCAGCAACACGTGAGCTGTGGGGCAGGCAGCCTCAGGCTGCCCACACAACCATCCATCTCTGCAGTCATTCCCCCACATAAGTGGTGCCTGCAACCAGCACTGGCCGTACCTTACTGCTTACATGCCTGAACATCATTACCAGACTATTAAAGAATTTGGAAGCTTAAGTCACTGGTGAACAATGAAACGTCAACCTGCATTGAATGTAGAACATCTCACTATGATCAGCGTTGTGACTCACTACAAGGAAGAAAGGCTTTGGTTCTCTTTATTGTTTCATCTTTTCATTCTTCTGTTTATACTATTTTGACCAAAACCACCAGGTAATATCACGTTACTTACGCCTGGGGGAAGGCAGCCATCTGACTGCTAAAGGACATTGATATTGCAAACTGTTCATGGCTGAAACTGTGCCACGGAAGTAGGAAGAAGATCTGACAGTGTTGCACACCTTTCAAAAAAAGACAGTTAGTGACTTTAAGAAATGGATCTGAGCAAAAGCCTGGATTTTGAAACTTCTGACTACTCCTCTACTTTGCCTCAATAGAAATTAGCTCAGAGCTTCATGGCGTGACTGTTCCTGTTACCTGAATACATTAATTTACATTTAATTCAGATAGCTCTACTTTACACTTCAGCCTGTACAGGTACAGGCATACCCTTAACATGGTCACACCTCCAGTGGGGTACTTGCTTCCTTGATGCAGCCAACACCGGTCCCTCCAAGTAAGCACTGCTAACTTTTCTGTTGGCATAGTGGATCTATTCTAGGATGCTTGCTGTCAAAGTAATCTACATAAAGTCCACCAGACATTGACATTCAGGCAGGTAGTACTGCAGACTTGGTGTTTAAAATCCACCAGGTCAAGAGGAAGCCAATCACACAACCCGTGGTGTCTGAATCTGGGAGAAATGATGGCCCAGGCTGCTGTGCTGGAGTTCTCTCTCCTTGACAAAGGTGATACTTTCACATACTTTCTCTGATGTCCATATCTGGTCATCTCCTTGTGTTGCTTTTCCATGCCCAAGTCACAACACGTGTGTCTGTGCGCTTTTTTTTTTTGGTGGTTCATCATGTTTCTGATCCTCCCAAGACAGAGGGTGTAGTTTAAAGAGAGGGTGGATAGTTCTGAAGGGATCCAACCAGATTCCCATTTCCAGCCTGGCCACTGACCTCCTGTGTGGCTCTGAGGAAAATGCCTCATCACTCTCACAACTTCTGGTTCTCTTCCCACTTTTTGTAATTTTTGACTATAAGAGTGTTAAATGTGGAACAGTGATTGTTCCTCCGTGCTACAGTATCCAGTGCATTTCCAGGACTCTCATAAAACACAGCGTGTGTAAATGTC